CATTATATCAACACAATGCACTTATCAGCACTGGTAAGCCAAGCAATAGGCAGATTTCTGGCAAAATACCTATATGCTAATGTAATTTATGGAGTTTCGTTATGTGGGAGGGGAGATAAATGCCTCTACAATGATTTTACATAAGTATTCAGTGATATATCACAAGAAAGTTATCCATTACTGTCATTAGGTGCTTAACTGCCAAGTTAATATAGAGCAACATGAAAATTCTACATTTCTTTTTAATTTTAACGGAGAGACCATGACTGCTAGCATCTGGCATACACTTTAATATTGTGCAAGCATTAATCCATCTCATTCTTTAATTCAGCCAGTGACCTTAATACCACTTCAGTTCTTAATCATCTGGCTGTATCAGTGCAGCTGGCATTCATTTTGCTTGACACGGGACTGCCCAATAAATAATAATGAAAAACCCTCTTAGCCAATGCTCAACAATGCTTAGCCCAACTGCAATCCCTTTACCTACTGGATTTTCTTTTCACAGTGTCTAGACAACACTCGTTCACAGCAACCAAACCAGACAGAAGACTGAGTCCATTACAGTGCCTCCCCAGTGCTGAAAGACCGCAGACTTATACCAGCACATCACCAAAACCTCCAAATCCAACATGGGACACCAAAAGGAGACAATTCCAGCACAGTGGCAGCACATCGCCCAAATTCAAGTGACCCAAAGCTTAGCCTGCTCATCCACATGAGTCTACGCAGCGTAACAGCGTAAAAACGTATCAGGGTAGCAAGCAAGAGACAACACAGAACTAGCAAGGATTCCCAGGTGAAGCTTTGCACAAGGACAGAACTCCCACAGATCACTTCAGCTTCCTTCTGCTTCCCACGACTATGAACTGTGGAGAATTTGAGATGTAAGCTTAAACCTAACTCCTCTAAAATATCACCAAAAATCAAAAGAGCAGTTTATATTTTTATAAGCCACTTTTTTTTCTTGAATCTACAATCCTGATCCACAAATCTGCTTAATCTGCAGATGACACCAAGCTAGGTGCGTGTGTCGATCTGCTTGAGGGTAGAAAGGCTCTGCAGGAGGATCTGGATAGGCTGCACCGATGGGCTGAGGTCAACTGTATGAAGTTTAACAAGGCCAAGTGCCGGGTCCTGCACCTGGGGCGCAATAACCCCAAGAAGAGCTACAGGCTGGGAGAGGAATGGCTGGAGAGCTGCCAGGCAGAGAAGGACCTGGGAGTGATGGTGGACAGTCGGCTGAATATGAGCCAGCAGTGTGCTCAGGTGGCCAAGAAGGCCAACGGCATCCTGGCTTGTATCAGAAACACTGTGACCAGCAGGGCTAGGGAGGTGATCGTCCCCCTGTACTCGGCTCTGGTGAGGCCGCACCTCGAGTACTGTGTTCAGTTCTGGGCCCCTCGCTACAAGAAGGACATCGAGGTGCTTGAGCGGGTCCAGAGAAGGGCGACGAAGCTGGTGAGGGGCCTGGAGAGCAAGTCCTATGAGGAGCGGCTGAAGGAGCTGGGCTTGTTCAGCCTAGAGAAAAGGAGGCTCAGGGGTGACCTTATCACTCTGTATAAGTATATTAAAGGAGGCTCTAGCGAGATGGGGGTTGGCCTGTTCTCCCATGTGCCTGGTGACAGGACGAGGGGGAATGGGCTAAAGTTGCGCCAGGGGAGTTTTAGGTTAGATGTTAGGAAGAATTTCTTTACTGAAAGGGTTGTTAGACATTGGAACAGGCTGCCCAGGGAGGTGGTTGAGTCACCATCCCTGGAAGTCTTCAAAAGACGTTTAGATGTAGAACTTAGGGATATGGTTTAGTGGGGACTGTTAGTGTTAGGTCAGAGGTTGGACTCGATGATCTTGAGGTCTCTTCCAACCTAGAGATTCTGTGATTCTGTGATTAATACATCCTCAAGAGGTGTTATTTCAAGTTGTCTGAAAACAAACGCAACAGGAGAGGACCACCAAGAGGAACCCTGCTGTTCTAAAGCAGCCCCCGTGCCGTCCTGCTCCTCCAGAGCAGCACCGATAATTTCCCAAATTCTGAGAAACAATCCTGAAAACTTCAAAGGGAAAAAAATGTTTAGATGAGGAACAAAATTTCCCTTGACCAATTCCTCCAAATAGTTTTAATGGGGAGGGAAGGGTGGAGGGGTGAATATGTATTTCTTGATTCCATCTACAGGTTGAATACCATGACAAAGACCACTACAACAGGGACTGGTGAACTTCCAACAGAAACTAATGGATATTTTACATGGAAAAACACTCCATTAGTAGACCAGCAACATCAGTACAGAATTTGTTCACAGTATAATTATTAAAAAGTGGACAAAAATACCCTTCATTTCCATTACCTTGGGCAGCATCTTTAATGCCAGGTTCCTCAAGAAAGACCAACTCAAACATTCACAGCAGCTGACACGCAGTGCTATCAACAGCCACTTGCTGTGCTCCTGCTACAAGGAGGTGTTGGAACCACCTCTGCCAGCCGCCTGCTACCACCACCCAAAACCTCCATCAGCTTATGCTGAGCTTCAGGCCAGCGATGCCACAGCAAGTGGGTTTGCAAGAATGCAAAGAAAATGCCCAGAGACAGTTTACTGACCACATCAAGAATAATTTCTTCCAAATCAACATTCTCCCACATCACAGCACCAAGAAGCACACGTAGGATTAATTATTCTTCCCTCTTGCTTTAAAAATTCCGGGACTTCAGCTTGTTCAGAATTGCGTTACATGACTACACTAATTAGGAACAGATTTTCAATGTACATCATACGGGCTGATACTGGGATATCTGGGTGATTATTTCAAGTTGAAAATGTCAAAGGCATGTTTTTAAACTTGTACTTTCCCTACAGACCTCAGGCAGGCATTGCACAGGAAGTACAAAGGACTTGCGCACAGCACCAAACATGTTAAATACCAATGTCACATGGGAAGCAAGTTTCAAGTAATGATTTTTTTTTTTTTTTTTTTTACAACTGGTTACACAGGCAAAAAAAACGTTTAAGTAAGGGTTTCTCCCATACCTCCATCATTACTCTAAAATCTAGGCACGGGATTATCAAGAGCATACCAATTTCATCTCACCTAAAAGAAGCCAAATTGTCAACACACGAGTCTTGGCTGAACAACAGCTCATTCCAATCTTAAAATACTAAAATACATTTGGCATGCTCATCATAACATGTCATGAAACTTTTCCTCTTAAGAAGCAAGAGGGGAAATTAAGGACAAAAATTTCAACTTAAGCTTTCTGGAAGGGCACCAACAAGCGACAGCCGAAACCTCGCACAGAGGCTGTGCGTAGGATTTTGCCTTGAATGGCAGGATGGCTCGCTGCACTTCTGCAGAAGCCGCGCTTCTCTGGATAAAAGAAAAGGATAAAGTGGCCAAAGATGCTGGGCTGACAGGAGACCTGCTAATCTCTACCAGAAGCCTGCAACAGAACTACCAGCGCATAACCACACCGCTGTCCCCAGGACACATGCTTTTTGGAAAACGAGACTGAAAGCTTCCTTGGGCCAGATAAACCTGAAACCAGCACGTCCCCACAAGCATCTCTGGAACATCTTCATGCTGCAGATTGGTGGTTACTGATTAACTCAAGTCTTCAGCTTATCCCAGGCTGCAAAGGCTGTGCTCCACACATATACGGTCATATACCATTAAAACAGAGTAACAGCTTAAGCATATTGGCGCAGGGCAGGCATAAATAGTCATATGAAGCAACTCTCTGTTGTGGTTACCTCAGGCTTTAACCAAGGTCAGACCACAATTTCCGCCAAGATTATTATAAACCCACATGAAGGCCTCTACATCAATAAAATATTACAATCCTCAGTTACTAGCTCTACATATTCAGCTCTGCTCCTTGTACCTCAAACTCAGGGCATTCTCTTAGCACAACTTCTGGCTGGTGGAGCTGCAGCAGGCTGGTGGTGATGCAGGGAAGCTCCCCTGCTACCGCTTCCTCACTACAAACCACCCTGGCTGCTTTCTGCAAGATCTACTGCTGGACCTGTGGTTCAAGGAAAGCTCAAATAATTTTCATTGAGGACTTGGTTTTTACAACGGCAGCAACTTACAGATTAGCACTTAGTGCTCAACAGGTTAGCATAATTACAAGGCAAACATTTGATCCCCGATACCTTATGGAGAAGCACAGCCAGGGAGAAAGCACACGCGCCATTCCTATGTCAAAGCCCGTAACCAGCATTTCTGGTTTGACACGTCCCAGCCAACACTACCACGAGCCTTTCAGATCCTCGCCGAGCACAGCTATTCAGCTTGACTTCCATCCTGCAGTAAGGTTCATTTTTGAGGTCCTCCTGCACCCTAAGGATTCACAAATCCCAGAACTACCAACCTGCTTCCACCAGCATTAGTAGCACCCAGCTACTGAAGGTTTGGATTACGTGCACCATGTACGATTGTGCTGCATTGTGTTCTCAAAAATATCACTCAGCTGAAGCATTTTTGAGACAGAAGTAGTGTAGGACTTAATAATTTACAGAGTAATTGCCTACTCCTTCCAAGGCAAGCAGACATTTCTGACCACCATAACCCATCTTTGGGATTGCAGAAGGGGAACAGCCCGGCGCCGCACAGCACTGGGTCACCCAGTGACCTACATACAGCAGCACAGGAGCTCAGCTTCCACTGCATAATTAAACAAGCCATGCTGGTCTCACCCAACTATCCTAGAAGGCACAGTGCATCAACCCAGAGTGCGTTTTCATTCATAAAGCACACCTAACTGGCCCTCCTCACAACTGCTGTGCTATGCACCTGAGCAGAAAACACTACTGAGTGCTTCAAATCATACAGCACTGCGTAAAACAGCGACTGTCAGCTCACGTACCTGCACTCCCAGCACGGCATTTCCCTCTCCTCACACATAAAGGCCCTTCTACATCCCCTACCACCAATTCAAAGCTCTGCAGCAAATGCTCCCACTCGCCTCCCCCACCGCCCAGCCTCACAGATCAGGCAAGAACAGGCACCTTTGTGGGGGGACCCATCGATGCTCTCGGAGCTGGACTCTATGTCAACGGTGGCTCTCCTGAGGCTGCTAAAATAAGCCCTTGACCTGGAGAAGCTGCTGCGTGGGGACCGGCCGTGGGGACTGCCGAAGAGGGTGGAGGTGCCATCCTTGCGGGCAAAGATGCCGCTGAAGAAGCGCAGCAGCCGGTGCTCGTGGGCTGCGGGGCTGCCGGTGGGGCCGTCCCGCCCCAGGCGCTCCGAGAGCCGCTGCAGGTCACTGTTATCCAGCGTGCGGTTCTTGCTCTTGCTCCGCTCCCAGCGCTCCAGCTCGGAGAGCGGGTCGGCCTTGCTCAGCACCTCACCCACGTCCAGCGTGTTGCGCTTCTCGGCGGCGGGCGGCTCGGCGGGTGGCGAGCCCTCTCCTCCAGCTGCCTCTTTGGGCTGCGGCCCCGGTGGCGCAGGGAGGCATCCCGAGCTGCTGTGCCGCCGCACCCGGCTCAGCGCCCGTGCCCGCAGCAGCTCCGCGCCGCTCCAGTGCCTGAAGCTGAAGCTGCGCCGCAGCAGGCCTGGCTGCCGCCCGGGGCTGTGGCCCGGCTCCCCCAGCTGCACGGCCTCAGCCCAGCGGCGGGCCTGGAGCCCAGCATCCTCCGTGGGAGAAGCAGCCACCGGCTCTGTTGCAGCTCTGGCTTCCTCGTGGCTACAGGTGGCCGCCGGCTCCGGGGTGAGGGTGGCATCCTCCAGGGAAGGGCTGCTCCTTGGTCCCGTGGAGGTTTGCTGCTGCGGCCACCTGAAGGTCAGCTCAGCAGGGAAGGGCTGCCCCGCTCTCCGCGGCACCTTGAGACGGCCCAGCTCCAGCTGCCCAGTGCTGAGGGTCCTGAAGTTGCGGAAGCCGCAAGGGCTGGGCACTCGGTCCTGCTCCTCGCCCTCTTCCTCACCCTCCTCCTCCTCCACCAGCAGCAGCCCGGCCCTGGTGAGGCTGGAGGAGCCGGGTGCATGGCCGCAGCGCAACCGCCCGTGCTTGGGCGGCTCGGGGCCGGGCTGCCCGCCGCTCTCCGGCCCCAGCAGCTCCTTCTTCACCATGGTCACGGAGATGCGGTAGACGGTTTTCCTCTGGGGGGTCCCTCGCTGCATCCTGTCGGGGGAGGCGGCGGCGGGGGGCTCGCTGCTGTCCAGGAGGTACATGTCTGCCGCCCTGCCCGCGCCGCGCCACCGCAGCCCTGAGCCGCTGCTGGCACCGCCAATCAATCCCGAGGCAGAAGCGCCGACCGCTGGGGAGCGCGGATAACGCCAAGGATCGATTAAAAAAAAATTAAAAAAAAATTAAAAAAAAATGAAAAGCAGCCCTCGAAGCCCGCCGTGCCCGGCCCCCTCCCGAGGCCGCGGTGCCGGGCCGGCCTCCGGGAGGCCCGGGGAGGCCTCGGAGAGCCCCGGGCAGGGACGGGCCGGGGCAGGGCTGCGCAGCGCCGCCGCCTCCCCGCCGGGCGGTGCCGGGCTCGGCGCCCCTCGGCCGGCCCCGGCCCCAGCCCCAGCCCCGGCCCCGGCCCGGGAACCGCCGCTCCGGCGGCCGCTCAGCCCCGGCGGCCGGGCTGCGGCAAGAGGCGGGATGGACTCGGCGCGGAGCGGAGCGGGACGGAGGGAGGGAGGGAGGAAGGGAAAGAGAGAGGGTTTCCAGCCTGGGAGCAGGCGAGGGAGGGCAGATTTTGCCCATAGAGCTGCCACTGGGGTGCAGAGCCCAACCGAGATGCACCCCGAGATGGGACACGACAGGAGGGCAACATCGCCTTTCGAGAGATGGAGAGCTAAATCCACACAGAACTGTTGTTTTTTAAACCTGAATAAAGCAGAATAAGCCACATTACTGGAGGCTTTTGTACTGTATGGTCTGCCCTACCATATCCCTTGCAATCACGGGTTTCAACAGAAGCTGCCTCTCCTACAAAGCAGGACAACAAGGTGATGCTTGCTCCTTCCACACCCAGCTCACCCATCCTCCAGTGCTCCAGAGCAGTCACAATTAAGTCATCACTCAATCACAGAAAGGTCTGGGTTGGAAGGGACCCTAAGAGATGATCCAGTTGCAGCCCTCCTGGTTGGACACCTCCCACTAGACCAGGCTGCCCAACAACTCACAGTACTGAAGAAAGCACCACTCAGCCATGATGGTGGACACCAAATTTCAACACTGAGGGAAAAGGTTTAAAAGAATACGCACAGGTAGTAGAAGAGTCGAGCTGCATAAGCTACCTTCAGCTGCTCTGCGCAGTGCCTCTGACAGCACAATCACTCATTGTTTATCACTGCTAGCTGCGTGTCAAAGCAGTAAATGTAAAAACGAAGGAAAGCAGCAGTGCATCTCAAACAGAAGTGAACCCCAAAGCTGGCAAGGCAAGCCAGGATGGCTTCAAAATCAGCCAGAAGAAAACAGCGAAGAAAAAAACCTTCTTGGGAGCAGCCCAGACAAGTACAGCAGCTCCAGACTGCAGGAGGCAGGTGGCATGAGGGGATAGGACAGGGCACCAGCACCTTCTTTCTCCTCCAGCTCCACCCAACAAGTGTGGATGCTGTTGGCTACTACCAGCACACAACACTGGTTTATTGACTGCACCAGGGTCCTGCAATGCACCTTTGGGAACAGCTCCCAGTAGGAACACAGGAAGTTTCTGGTTTAAGCCACTTCTCCAGATATGACAGGTGCTATTGTCTCTGACCCAGATTAACATTTACTGTTCATCTTTGCTCACAGGTTCATGCTACAGAATAGACTTGCAGATGTATCTTTAGCAGGTAAAACCAGCTGCACTTAAGAGAAACAGCCTTAAAATCAACCTGAGCTCACACTTGCCCAGTCTGAACACAGCCTTGCTCACACAGGACTGTAGCACATTTCCCATTTCTGACACCCAGAAAGCCATTCCCAACACGCATTTCTAACCTGGGGGTGTGGGAGCAGAGCCAGCAACAAAGACTGGGCCTAATCAGAAACACACAAAAGCTGTACTTGAAGAAAAGCACGCTCTTTAGGAAACCCCATGGTAAAACCACACCCCTTTAGCTACCCAGTGCAGCACGTAAGCCGAGCACCACGACCCGTGCGGCTCGGGGACAGCTCCACGCCACGTCTTGCAGCACACCAGCGGCTGGAAGCAGCTCCCTAGCGGAGCAGCAGTGGAGTGGAGCAAACCATTTGTCATCGCCACCGGCCCTGCATGGCGGAGCCCTTCGGGAGCCGCTCACAAGGGCCCAGCAGCCCGCATGCTCCTCGGGCTCCCCTCTCCTCACCACCCTCAGCCCGATGCTGGGGATGGGATGTGCAGGCTGCCGGCCGTGCTGCTTGCTGGGTGTAGCAGCATGCTGGGGAGCTGGCTTTCCCCCCAGCATTAGCATCTATCCGCTGTCCTCTAGAGGCTGTGCTTTGGTCGGGATGCTATTATCCCCTGGATGGTGGGAATAGATCTTAATCGTCAGCTCGCCATGCTGTAACAACCCCTCCATGCCTAGTAAATCATACTCAAAGAGATTGCACTGCTATTTAAGCCACGACTCCTCATCAATTATTCACCGCCCCGCAACTGCCAGCAGCCGGCTGCTAACACGGCCACCTCCACTGGTGCTCCAGAGACCCAGAGATCGCCATGGTACTGCTCACCAGAGGAGGCTCTGTGCTCCATGCAGGCCCTCGCATTGCCATGGAGGCTGGTGCTCAGCCCAGCAGCCCACAGGGGTTTTAGTCGCAGTGGAGCATCCCCTCCTGCCCTGCTGCCGCCCCGTCACATACCAAGCTCAGATCCTGTCCCATAATAGGAGACGTCCCTTGGGCCCGGTGACCAGAGCAGCCAGAAGTGCCTGCAGCCAACCCAAACAAGTCATTTGGCTTCAAGCCTACTCCTTGTGTCCTGAAGGGCTCCCGGCAGACAGCTCCAGGCACCTCTTCCCCTGCCAGCAGCTAGAAGTGGAGAGCACAAGGAGCACATGCTGTGAACCAGGGGCTTCCAAAAAGGAGTTACCAGCAGGGTGTGATGGCACAAGCATACACACCTCATTTATTCCTCCAAACTCCACCATCACTAACACCTACACTGCCTTCTGCCACCTTCAAGACGTGCTTCCAAAACACCATGCTCCCAAGTCTTGCTGTCTCTCCAAGACATTTACACCGACAGCGATGCTGTGTAAGCCCCTTTCAACCTACCCCTTCAAGGCCATATTTGACATTTTGCATACTACTGCCAAGGTCAAGTGTACCAACGTGGCCTTTAAGGTCTTCATTTGTAACAAAATCAAACCCCAACACATCTCACAAAGCAATGTAACACTTACTGGATACATTGACTATGATTTTTTTTCAGGCAGGAAGCTCGCTTATTTCACAACAAGCAGGAGGAAGCCACGCTGCCACTCACAATGTTCCTGAGTTCAGCTTCGTGCCACTGCTGACCGAACCACCAGCACACAGTGCTGAACACAAACCACAGCAAAGACAGCTGTGCTGGGAGGAGAGGCATTATGAAGGCAAATTTCCTGCTAGCAACAAATGCTTCTGACTTGATAAAGCAAATAATTCTTGAATCATTAGAAGTAATGTAGGATAGGCTTCACATTTACTCTTTTCCCAACAATTCTGGGCAAAAAGACTCGAGTATATCCTTGTTTCCTTATTCTTTACAGGAACTTCAGTTTACCAGGAGATTCAACACAATCACCATTCAAATGTAAAAGCCCCAACAAGGAGAAGGTACTTGGCTCATGCATCAGTAGCATCTGCTCATTAGAATTTCATCCTGAAAACAAGAAGGTAGGTTAGCCTGTTGGACTCAAACCTTTCAGAGTGCACAACCCTCATGATGCCATTTTGATTATATGCCCATGCTTCACTTTGTTTTTGATGACTTCCAGTCGTTCCAATCTTGGCTGCTCTAAGACGAACGGACCTATTTTCTTGTTTTTGTAGAAGGCAGATTAAACTCTAGATGCATGGTATTATTTGAAGTAGGTGCTCCTTTAACAGATTTGTTGTGGAAGATGAAATTAGGTCAGCTGAACAATTCTTACAGTAATTCAGATGTGATTTCTCTTTCCTCTTCTAGAAACAGTGCTCTATCCGCTGTTTGTCATTACAGATCAGTGTTCAATGAGGAAACGAGGGAAGGCATCTGGATGAGAACATTCTGCTGGAGGGTACTGGCAACACAGAGACCAAACCCAAGGTCTCTCTCAAGCCACGGGGTTATTGCATTAAACCACTGATCTGTGTTCTTCTGTCACTATGCGCTCATCCATTAAAATAGGCCCAAATCCACTGTAGGCAATTCTTCGCTAAGACAAAGTACAGTGACATCTCACAACACCACAGAGAAGAGGAGTTACCAGTGAGATGTCAGCACTTGCTACCAATAACAGTCTTACCATCAGCACAATAAAATTACATTCCCGTCCTGAGAACACTCATCAGGAAAGGGAAAAAGGGCGATGTGATGTGCAACAGAAATGCAAGACAACTATTTGCCTTTGATACCAGGACCAAAATAAAAATGGTTGCATTTCCGGGACAGGGGAAGTGAGCAGCAGCCCATTCCAAGCACAGATCACGTCACACTTTCTGACAGAAGAGTTACAGCCTTCTGCTGCTACAGAACTTAATGAAACAGCAGAGCTGACAAACAAAAAAGAACACCAATTATACTTTTACATTCATTAATACTTTAAGCTAAGATGCTGCAAACGTGCAGTTCCCCTGTAGCACACTACAGCACTCGGTACCCATCCTTACAGTTATCCCATTAATCTTCAGAGCCAGATCTGCCAAGTGAAGGTGACAATTAAGTTTTATCATTTTATCATCCCCCAAGGCCCTCAGTATGGAATAGCCAATATTAAAGCCCATCCCCATTTTGTACTCAGCTAGTACCAAGGCAGCATTCTGGTAAAGTGCAAATACATGTCAGCGATCTCCATTAGAGGCTGTAGATGACCCAGGCTACCTGCACAAAACCGAATTACCAAAGCACTTCGTATTCAAACATTTAGTGTTAAAACTGGGGTAGCAGGCAGTAACGCTATGTGTCTTTGTGATCATCCTACTGCACTCAGAACTGCCCAAAGTTCTCGCTGCCCCTGCAGAGCTAACGCTGAGTTACCTGCAGTTCAGTCTGCTCTCCTGGGGAGGCAACAAGGGTCGCTGCTCTTCGCAACCCTGCATTAAACCCTCAGGTGATTCCAAAACTTGGCTTCACTTGGAAGAGCAAAAAGGGTTAATCTAAGCTGATGACATATCTATCTGGAAGGATAACCTTAGAAATATGAATTCTAGAACTTTAGGTTTGCTTCCAGGTATGCTGTCAATGTAACCTACGATATGCTAACTGCCCACTATCCATTTTGTCTATCAAGACAGACGACCACCAGTGACACTTGGTGAGGCAGGAGCTCACAGAATGACAA